TGGAAAAGTTACTAGCTACACGTTCGACAAGCAAACAGTGAATAACTGTCGATCCAGGCATATAAGAAAATAAGGGTCAGTTCATCTTTGGACAGGGATATGTCGAAAAAAGCCAGTGCAAACCGACCAGCGAAAGTATCGAGATCCTCGAGAAGCATTCCGAAGCGCACAAGATGTCGCCAATTGATGTATTTTGTATGGAATTGCTTATCGTGCCGTTTTGAGCGCAACGGTATCAGTACCCGATCACGACTATCACTCATCGTTCGACTTTCCTGTTTTTCCACAGCACTGCAAAAATTTGATAGCGCAAATCTCCCGAACTAAATATGACCAATTTATTTAACAGAAACAATAAAACGGCCGGTAAAACAGAGATTTGGACCGTGACCTCAAAGCGGAATGCATGGCGCAATCGGGAAAAATCGTGGCATAACTCAAATTCCCTATCAAACTGGCATTTCCTTACTTCTTTCCCTTTCTGTGCAAATTCTTAGGATATCTTTTTTTCACTTAAACTGATATTTACATTAAACCAACGGATTATTAAAGAATATGTTAAGTTGGACAACATTCTGTATGCAGAACATAACATCCTTGGAAGCGCTCTAAAGCACCTGACTAAAAACACGAACAGCCTGAAAGTGCTAAAAAATGACTAGGCCCGGTGGAGGGTTTTTTTTAGACATTCGTAATAATCTTTCTTGTGAGGCAAAACGATCTTTGACCTCTTCACCTGGATATCCATACCCGCCACGTATCTCAAACTCCTACGTCTGGAACGGAAAAACCGCAAAATTTGACTTTACACCGATACAACTGTGATAAAGATAGAAATAAAGATAGACAACAATCATAAGAAACGCAGTCATAATAACGATAGCAGTAACAATAGTAATAACGTAAATGAAAATAATAATGATATTCGTAGTGATAATATTGGTAGCAGTAACAATAATAATAATGTAAATGAAAATAATAATGATATTCGTAGTGATAATAATAATAATAATAATAATAATAATAATAATAACAACAACAA